CCGAGCATGCAGTTTACCTACTTGCTCTGATAAAAATGGAGGCCATTACAGTCGGTGGAATCCAAGAGCTCGTATGCCGACTCCGACTATACGTTGGCCATCACCTCGGTTACCTCACCAAGGATAAAAGTGTGGAGAATCTATCTCCATGCACACCAGGAGTCTATTCGTAGGGGCAGCCCTAAAAGCGACTCGCTGGTCGGGGAGAAATACCCCGAAATCGGGAGGAACGCCCGAAATATAAATGCGGATACTCCTTCCGCGCCTGTGCGCCCGACCCAATGTCTAAGGCTACCTTGAGGCAGACCTCGGGACCACCCGGGCCTAGCTGCCTCCTACTGCGGAGCTCTTCCCGCAGCCATTCGTGGTGATCAAATCGGCCTAGGCGGTAATACCCCGCCCATTGGTCCGATGGATCAATCTCCCTACGAAGAACTGGAACACGCGCCACTGGGGCACGATCGAGGGGCGGCATGTTAAACGAACACCCGGAAAGTGCCTCGGGAGATTTCCAAGTCCTCGCAGTGATGATCCCGAGCCTCACGCTCGGAATTGAGGGGACATTGAATTCTAAAATTCTAAAATTCTAAATTCTAAAATTCTAAAATTCCATGTGACGAGTCCTAACCCCTCCCCTCGTAATGATAGGGATGTTCTCTCCCATCCATATCTTATCAGGCGTTATTACATGGCGGGTTGAACAACAACTTAATCGTCCGAGCCGCCAAAATTGTCCTCGGGGGTTTCAAGGAATAGGTTCCTCTTCCCCGACGGAGTGGTCTTCACAGATGCCTGCGTTCCACCTTGAGCTGCCATGAGTTTCCCCAGGCTCCTCACCAACCCGGACACATGGACTTCTAGCTCAGATATCCGAAGCTCTAGTCCGGATAGTCGGGCATCCGTGGTTCGCGGGGTGATCTCCACCTCTCGAATTTCAGGCCCCCTAGTGCCTTTATCCGATTTCCGCATTTCCGCGTTGGCCCGAGACCCACGGCCGTACATAGCCCCGTGGGCGTGTTGGAGCCAGCGGATGGCCTCCACTGCCTCCTCCACGGTAGAGGGGCGCTGGTTTAATGCCTGGTAACCAGCATCCTTGTCCACACACCCCTGGCACATTCGCAGCACCGTCTGCCGCTGTACATATGCCTCAGGTACCTCGGGAAACGCCCGAGATGCCAACCGGTGAAGCCGGTCCGCCCATTCCAAGAGGGGTTCATCGGCCCCCTGCTTAGCGGTGTTAAACTCGAGCAGGACGGCTTCGGGAGGTTCCCGATACCCGAATCTGCCCTCTAGATGGCGCACCATCCCGAAATACCCTACCCCCGGGTCTCGCTCTTGCGTCATGTCAAAGAAGTCGCTTGCCGACCCATCCAAACACCAGCATAGCTGGTTTAGACGCTGCGGGTGGTCCCATTCGAGGGCATCCGCAAATGCGCTGAATTTGCGGAAAAACGCCCGCCAATTCCCCCGCCCGTCAAATACCACAGACTTGGGCATCGGCTGGTATGAACCCTTGTCCCGCTCCCATGCCTGAGTGTATACAGGCGGTCGGCTAATGACCTCTTCCCTGTTCCGCTGTGGCTCCACGTGGGGCCTGCGGTAGTGTTCCCCGCCCCCTCTCCGATAGAAACCACGTTCCTCGGGAGCAGGCCCACTCGGTAAATCCTGGTAGGCCCTACGCGGGGCATTGCTCCACCCCGAATTGTGGCGGTTCCCAAACTCTCGGGGTTGGGTGCTATCCCCTTCCCCCCACAACTGAGCATCGCCACCCTTATTCTCGGTCCGAGCTGCTGGGCGAGGGCGCGCCTCCTCTGCTCCATGCGGGGGAGGGTATCGGTCGTGGGGATACACCAGTGCCCCACGCTCCTCATCCCCGATTTCCCCCGGGGTTTCCGCCGGCGTACTGCCAACATCCCCCGTCTCGGACAACGGCCGAAAACCGCCCGGCCGTATGGGGAAATCCCCCACGGCCTCCCTTGGGCGGAAGTCCAGACTCCCTTGGAGGTCCTTAACCTCCTCGTAGTGAGAAGACGCCTCAAACAACTCTTGAGTGACTTCGCCACACTGCCCCCGGAGTGCCCACAGATAGCCTATGTGCCCCGGCGTCGCTCCGGGAATGGCGAGCAAGTCCTCAAATGAACAATGGTTCAATGGAACCTGGCCATACTGAAGCAGTATTAAAAACTTGGTGCGGGCCCCCACAACCAAAAGCCGAGACTCCGGCTTCAACTGAGTTCACCCGACTGGTAGATAATTTCTACCAGTAGGCCTACTAGTTCCACTTGGGTAAGTACCCCTTGCTTGTATGCCTCAATCACGAGAAGGAGGGTCTGTATAAGCCCCTGAACCTCTATTACAAAGGACTCCGTTTCCTCGGAAATAGGCATGGATTTATTCTTAGAAACCGGCACTGCCCGGTGCTCCAAGACTATTTCAACGATACGTATCGGAAATTGGAAAATACGGATTCACCCCCGTATTGTGAAATAGGGAGAGATTATGAGAATTATTTATTCACAAATCCACCCACTCTCCCTTGAAAATGAAAATGAAGGGAAACACGCCCCCTTACCAGAACTCCGCCTAAAAAGACAGATTTAAATACACTTAAACCAGATCCAGGTCTAATCGACCAAGATCTTTGGTAATTGTAAACGACTAAAGGGGAACACACTCCCACTCTCAGTCTGACCTGCGTTGTTGGCTTATTTTATTTTATTTATCTTTTAGCCAATAGCCCCCTGCCGGCAGGAGCAGGCAGGTGAGCTACACGCCAGGCCCACTAACACGCAAAACTCACAGTCACTATCACCTCACAACTCCGAAAAATTGCACAAGGTATGAGGTGAATTTGAAACAAAGGAATATAAAATGGTGCCTCAAACAACACCACCCAGTGGCACTTACCTTATTTTCCACGGAAAAAAGGCACTGTAATCCACTGTCGATCCCTGCAAACACCCAAAATCGTTATTTAACTGGACGTTCTAAACTCGTGCACAACTTTCGAAGGCGAGGCAATGCAGAAAAGGGAATTCCTTTTTCCGCAATAACCCTCCACGGCGCACCAAGCAAAAATATAACCCCGGGCTCACGCGGCCTCGAGCTGTGCTGGTGAATGGGAAATCCCCAAATCACCGCGGAGTAATCAATTCCAAAGCGACGCCATATTCAAATCACAAGTGGGTAAAAAGCCCCAACTTGCAAAAACGAACAGACAAACAAACAAAAATACAATTATAGCACTGGCATGGCTGCCTAAATGCTCACACACCCCCACATTCCCCCTCTCATGGAAAAAGGCACCGAACTTCGCCGAATCCCTCGGCCCGTCTCGATTCCCTCCGAAGGGGGGGGGGGGGGGGGTCACTCACAATCACACCATCAATATTAATAATAATATACACATAATTCAAATACCCAGCACATACCACAAATCCCCCATTATCCCATCTCCCAGGAGAAGGCCCCGAACTTCACTGAATCCATCAGCCCTTCTCGGGTTCTTCCCAGGAAGGGGGGGAGGGCACTCACACCATTCGTCCATCACAATTCATATCATTCACAAATAAAGCAAACATCGCTGAATATGACGTCAGCTTCGGCTCGCATTCGGGAATTCCCGAAATGCATATATGTACATGGATACATGAAACAAATTACCTACAACACTAGCATCCGTACTAGATTTACATACATTACGAAACCCATCCGACCGGGGAGGAGAGCACCGAACTTCGCCGAATCCATCAGCCCTTCTCGGCATCCCTCCCCGACTGGGCACAATACCGACCACGGTTACAACGAGTGCCAGCCGGAACTACGCGCGATCCACCCCACTACCATCGCCCGGAAACTAGGTTTCCCCTGCAATGCGCAGCTAGGTTTCCCCCGCGCTTTTCCCGCCGGCGCGGCCAGACTAGGCAAGGGGTCCCCGTTCCGTTAGAGAAAACACACAACAGAACAAGAGACAAAGTCTCCCCAAAACGGTGCATCCCGAGGTCCTAGTTGTCCGTGACGCCAATAAAGTAGGCTGTACGCCTACTTGTTAGAAGCAACCATAACTCACTCACCTAATTTGGCCTTGAGGGTAATTCGTCCTCCAGGTCCGGATAGGTGCTTGATACTTGGTTACTGTCAGTGCTGAAGAGGTAAAATTCTCCCGCCGCACACGTATATGTACTTGTCGGCACGAGAGGATCTGTGTGCAGCTAGCTCAGCCGTGTTCCAGAGTGCAATGCCGCCCTCTAGGGGTGAGGGCGGCACCTGTCGTCTGCCAGCTCTGGCTGCTCTGCTCTGCTTTACATATTATATTTATGGCCTACTACAGCAGGTTTGGGCATCGTTTCGAACTCAAACTCAATAAAGAATCACGCTTAATCACGAAAATGTTGTGTGTGGACAGGGGGAGTGTAATTAGTGTAACTAACTGGGCGGGGCTTAACGTGACCTCGAGCGAAAGGAGACCAGACTGCAGAGTTTCAGGATTACTTTCTTCGATCTGTTTATGGACATCCTTGAATTTATACGATGATTATTTATATGAAGTTTCTTGTGTGTGGACACTTTGAAATTTATACTATGATTCTTTATACAACGTTTCGTTATAGAGTTTCGGGATAAATTGTTTTGTGTGTGGACACGCTGTATGTGAGCTATGTTGGTCCAAGGTCACAGGGGTCAATCACAAGTTTTAACTTTATCCTTGTTATCGCGATATCTCAATACTTGTAAGAAATTCAAACCTGATGACAGTACAGGAAGACAATCTGATGGGATTTAGGGGTATTTTATATACTACTATATACTTTTTGTCCAGCCATTACTTATGACTAAAATATAAAGCAATGTGGGCTATTCAGGTTGACCATTTTCTTTTTCTCGTTATTTAATTGCACTTTCAGGTGACCATTTCCCATGAATGTGTTGTATGTGGACGTTACCAATGTTATATGTTTCATTACTTAATGTAGGCCCCCCTGCCAATATTTTTCTTCTAGATCGTGGCTCGTTCTTCTGACGGAGTCGATTGATGTGCCAAGATGCCTGTATCACTAAGTGAGTGGAGGGTCCGAATTGGAACATTCGTTCATTGGATTAGGGAATATGAGGTTAAGGAGAGGAGAGAAAGATTACTTAAAGAAAGGATTCGAAGACTGAAGGTTCTTTGCGAGAGACTTGAAGCGAAAATTGGTGATCCTGGAGAGGAGTCCGAAGATGACAAAAGCAGACAAGATGGCCCTGATCGCAAGGGATGTCCTCATAAAACTTTGAACATTTGGTCGTCAGGAAACTCATCAGATATCAAGGATTTATTAACTTCATGTGATCAGTGCATACAAGATTTATTAACACCAAGTGATTCTCATATCAAAGAGTTACTCACCCCTTCTGATACATGTGTTAAACAATTGCTGACACCAAGGAGAGAAAGATTGCAAAGGATTCAGAGACTGAAGGTTCTTGTCGAGAGACTTGAAGCGAAAAGGGGTGATTCTGGAGAAGAGTCCGAAGATGACAAAAGCAGACAAGATGACCCTGACCCAAAGGGATGTCCTCATAAAACTTCAAACATTAGGTCGTCAGGTATCAAAGATTTACTAACTTCATGTGATCAGTGCATACAAGATTTATTAACAGCAAGTGATTCTCATATCAAGGACATACTCACTCCTTCTGGTTGTAGGATCACAGAACTTATTACTCCAAATGACTGTAGCAGTAAAAGTCAAAACACATTGAATGATTCGACTACCAAAGATATAATCACACAAAATGATTCTGGTCTCAAAGAGTTAGTAACAACAAATGATTCTAGAATTACAAATCTGGTCAAGGCAAATGACTACTCTAGAATTCAAGGTCTATTCAAGGCAAATGATGATTCAAGAATCCAAGATCTACTCGCAACAAACTATTCTAGTATCAGGGATCCAATTACACCAAAATACTGTAGTATAAAAGGTGTAATCGTATCCAAGAATGCTGGCACTAAACCACTTGATACGCCAAATGATTCGTTGAATGCTTCCAGTATCAAAGATCTCATTACACCAAATGATTCTAGCATCATAGATCTAATCACGTCAGAATATTCTGATGTCAAGGATTTAATCACATCAAATGTTTCAAAAATCGATAGTCTACTAAGTCCAAATGATACCAACATTAAACAGCTGATAAAGCCGGACGATGACTACATTCAAGAGCAGCTTGCACACGCTTATGAGTATGTAAACACAGTACATACGCGTCATAGTCTGTCAGACGTTTCCTTGAGGGAGCTACTGACATCCTCCTATCCGTCCACGAAATACTTTCAGACTTCAAATGATGATTTGAATGCTGATCTCATCATAAAGACTTCTTACATCAAAGACCATGAAACCCAATCAGATGGCTCTGTGACAGAGCTATCACCTGGTTCAGGAACCACAATATGCCGACCATTTGCACCATGTGATGATTTCCTTGTGGAGGTCCTAAAATCAACTGTGACTGTAAGCACATATCGTCCTTCAATTGACCTACACGTATGTTGCCATGCACCTGACAGACGAAATGGGCCATTCTCTGAAAAGAGTGGCAAACTACCTCATGTCGTGGGGCAAGAGCGGCATCCTCAATCTGATACTTTGACCAAGGAAGCAACTGATGATGAACTCCTCAAGAAGCATCAGACATCATCGGGGAGCTTCGAGAAGTCACAGACTAAAACCCGTATTTGCACGGCAGGCAGATGCAGCCCGGTGGTTCCAATCGTCTCAAGAAAAAACTGCATCAGTGACAGACATGAAGAGGTGGGTACACATACTATTTCGATCAGCCCTTTATATTAACCCATTGTTTACTGGATCCAGATGGCTCCTATATTAAAGCCTATGGCAATTACACAAATATCAGTGTAGTCAGTGGGTTAAGTAATTGTAAAATTGCAAATAACGTGTTGAAGAAAAAAAAGTAAGCAAGAAGGAGAGGAGCATCAAGTTGATGCCATAAAAAAACAAACATATTATCGCAGAAAGGGCGCCTAAATATACATGTAGATCAAAGATTATTTCAAGGACTTTAATAATTAGTTTCAGTTTCAGTTTTGTTTTCATTTTTAACAGAATAATCAATAGATAAACAATACATGTACATTTAGGCCTACATTAATATAATGTATTTTGAAAATAATTAATGACATTAAAAAAAGAGAATGTATGCAAGTACATTTGCTGTAGGTTGTGTTTTAAAATGGAGCATTGAGAAATATCTTTCATTGCTACATTGTTCTTATATATTCATTGTCTATAAAAACAGTATTCATCTCAAAGGAACTTTGTCTGAAATTTGAAAACATGAGATTTTGATAAATGCGTGGTAATGTTTATTTTATTTTATGTTTATTTATCTATATAAAAAAAAATTATGACAATATGCTTACACACGCAAATTTGTGAGAATTGCATATTTTTATAGACATGTGATGATATTTTGTCACCCATAACAAATGTGCTATCAAAATGTGCGGGAGACATGAGGAAAAAAAAATGAAATTTCAGCGCCAAAGGTTCAGGGGTTTGATGCAGCAGCAAAAAAATTGATTACGCCCCCCGGCCTTATTAGTGTTAAGGATTTTAAGTAATGATTATTTCATGTTATCAAACACAATATGGTCATGCAATGAAATGCACACAATACGTGTATTCATAATTTTTGCTTTAAAAAAAAAAATACATGTATGCATTTGGTATATTATTTAGGTTATTCAAATGATATTGAATTAAACCACAAAATGTGGGATGACTGTTTGGAAAGATGATGAAATGGAAGAACTGTACACAAACAAATCATACAGTGTATATTCTCATGATTAGGCAAAAAACAATACTTAACTACATGTATATCTTCATTTGATGATGTGCTGGTGAAGTGAAATATGCTCAATCATAAATTTTTTCACTGTATTTTCTCTTTTTTGTTAAAAAAACAGATGGGAGATTCTTGTCATGGACCGTCCTTGAAGTCAAAGACAGATTTGATCTCTGTACAGATTCCTCCTCTCTCCGAACTGCTCCTCTTGAAATCTGGTGATGTAGAGCTCAACCCAGGCCCTCGTGAAGCGTAAGTTAGTCTCTTATATTTCTTCAGCTAAATTGACATATGATAGTTCAACAAACGCTACATCCAGTTTTATACAAGACTATTTTTGCATTATGAATGTAATTTTCTTTTTAGTAGACCGGCATACAGTCAAAAAGTTGAATGTTATACAAAAATATTAGTAAACACTTCTAGCCTGTTTCTAGCATGTTAAGTTCTAAAACTTGCTACATCCACTTCAGTTCAGTTCCAAAACATGCTACATCCAACAATGGCCTGCTCCAGGAATTCACCAATACTCAGATTTTTAAAAGTAGTTAAATGGTGTTAAATGGGTACCCGGTAGGATGCGAACGTTCATGTGGTTGAACGAGCAAGTGTGCGCCTGTAAAATGGCGACTGGCTGGAATGCTCCCCAGGGAGTGGAAAATGTGCACACATTGTGTGCGGGTAAGCCTGAATCCGATAACCGGGGTAATAATATATCTGTAAAGCGCTTAGGTACATCGTTGGATCGGTGTGTTGAGCGCTATATAAAAAACCGGATTATTATTATTATTATTATTAATTACAGGAACAAAACTAACACCTAGGTTTATTTAGGGAGTGATTGTGTCGTCCCAATAATGTATCGTTTCAAGTTTTATTTCAAATTAATAATGCAAAATAGGAGTATACAAAAAAACTGTTTTTATCAGAACTTAGTTTTACATATATGTAGGATGTGAACCTCATGCACAGGCTTTGTTGTTTACAACCAGTAACGTGGACGACAAGCAATAGGACGTTAGGACATCTGTTCTTTATTTGATGTATGATTTAGTTCATTAATTTTCTTCAGACAAAGAAATGGTACGCGATCCAATCGTAGGCATACAGCACCAATTAATCTTATTGCTCAGTAGGAAGTTTGATCTTTCCTTTCTTTCTCATCAATTTTGTTATGTTAGAGCTGGGTGGAGCTTGGATTTAGAGAGAGAGTTGCTGTCATTGGTCAAAGACGTTTCTCCAACACACTACCACGACTTGTGTAATGCTCTCGATGTCTCCTACGCACAAAGTAAAGTGATTTTAACGAAAAACCACTTTGATGTGTCCAATGCATTGTCTGAAGTCATCTTCAGCTGGAGAGACAAGCAAAAGGATGGCACCAATTACAAGATACTTCTAGCTGAAAAACTCAGGAGTGTACATTTAGATGCATTGGGAACAAAACTAGTAGAAGGTGAGTGAGCTGTGCAATTTATATCACGTGACTGTCTGTCCTTGGTATATTATGTGTAGACCTACGTGACGCGGGGCGGGGTGGGGAGGGGGGGGGGGGGATTGGGGCACTCCAAGTCAATAGTCATCCATGCATTTCAACAAGAATATCACTTGTTCTGAGGCCTAATTTGCATGTGGGTGGGGGGGGGGGCGGGAGGGAGGGGGTAATGACGGACACTCCCCTTCCTTCCAATCATTTCTTAACGTACGTACATGCTACAATTTCAGTTTTTATATGACATATATTTTCAACAATATTCTAGTGTAATTAGTAACACCCGTTTTCACTATGGTAAATATTTGAAAAGGAGTAACTTTGGCAATATGTTCTTTCAAATTTCTTTTTAAAAACAGATACACGTTTGAGGATAATTTACATTGATTTCATTACATAACACAATGGCATTCAATATGTCTGCACTGTCATTTAGCTATAATGCCATTTGGGAGATACAAAAACTCCTTCTTATCTTCTCCTGATTGTTTGAATTTTGGCTTCATATGCTGTGAACATCACTGACATGCCGTTTCTTAAGGTCGGCCGAGCAGCGGGTTACTTTTTGCAAAAAGAATCCGATTATCTTTTTGTAAACTTAACTTGTGATAGTTTTCTAACGTACTTAACTTAAAAATTTAGTTACTTTTTTCCAGATTAGAAATTGAGTGTGTGTGGGGGGGGGGGGGGTGTGCCCCTTGAAATACATGTATATGGTAATGGTCCGTTGTAAAAGGTTAGGCCTACTGGTAGAAATGGATAAGCATACATTTAATTTGAGAATTCAACAAAATAGCAGTTACTTAATAACTGCTGAAACATTTTGTAGGGCATAAAAACCAGACATTTTTTGGTTAATTAATATATATACACAGTTACATATGCATCAATCAGTCTAATGGTGGAACCACGGGAGGGGGCACAATTCACGTGTCTGAGAAATTTGTATGAGGCCTGTCACGTTTAGTGGTAGAGTAAAGAAAAAAACAATTGCCCTAAAGAATTTTGTGAAAACAGGTACTCCCTCTTCGTCAAATTTAAAATTCAGAGCTGATCAAATTCCTGTAAATATTGACAATGTTGAATTACATATTTATTTTAAAGATCATTCAATTTAGATACAGTTGTCTCATTTTAACTTATAGGTGGATACTCGACACAAGACACCCCAATTCAGGGTGAGTATACATGATCAATTAGTCCCGCAAATAGTTACAGTGTGAAATGCTGTTATATTCTGGAAGGCGTGGAAGCCGATTAGAACTAGAAAATGTAATGATAGCAATTATACTTGATTAAATTCAGACGTTAAGTCGAATATTAAAGGGCAAGGAGTCAAGCCAACATTTCCCGAAACTTCAAAGCAAACATGTACATATCTAAAGCCCTACGTTGACAATTAACATTTCTAGCGTTTCAAAATTTGTTTATGAAATTGAGACTGTTCAAAAATCTGTTTAAAAATTGGTTGAAATACTCGAGGTGTGAATATCGTGATAACTACAGATACGATAGAGACATGGTTGAAAAGGTTAATTTGTCTCTGGTCATAATATGTTGAGTTTATGCATGTGGGCGTGTGCGTCATTCGTAGGTACGTTGGGAAAAAAAACTATTAGAGGGTATCTGGGTTGGATTTTTTAGTTCATTCCAATCACCCCACTTATAATGGTCGTTTGTACAAACAATTGGAATAGCCTGCCATAGCTACGTTGCAGGCTTAATTCTTCTATCGGGGATGACCAGTATCTGTATATCAAGTGTCCTTTGGTTTTAATTTGTGACCGAATGAAAAGAGCGAGCCCCTACATTTGTCACTTTATTTTTAATAGTGGCAGCTTCAGCTTCCTTATATATGCGATGGCTCCAATTTCGGCAATTTCAAAATATTCGGGGCTGCAGCCCTCCCCCAGCTTTTTCTCGTAAAACTATGTACGCCTGCTCCTTGTAAATCCTGTAGAACAGATGAGGAACAGGATTTATAAGGAGCAGGCAATATTGATCATGGAACAGCATGCAATGCGCTATAGAGAGCTAGCTCGGTGACTACCGGCCGCCCAGCTCTGCCAGGACCAGATCGGCAGCATAAAATAGACCGGAAGCCACTAAGCTATCCCAAAGAGTATTTGAAATGGGGGGCATGAAAGTAACATCCGGACATTTGGGGATATTGGCGATAGCGGGAATTCTCAAAAATTATCACTAACTTGGGAAATGTTGCCTTTCATGTTTTTGTGATAGGTAAGCGCTTTCTTTTCAGAAGCTAAAAGATTCCACTATTTCAGTGTTTGCACGGGTTAATTTACAATGCAACCAAAAGTCTTCGAGTTTTTTCACATTCCAGTGTTTCGCCAGTAGTTAGTTGCATTGCATAGCAACATACAGCAAATGTGAAAAAAAAATCCAAATTGAAAAATTCACCTCTGGAGTGTGGTTTTGTAAAAAGCGCCTGCCGAAGTTATACCTTTTTTTTTGCAGGGTAAAACTGTTTTTTGCTCACATGGCTCTACTTTTTTCGTGCTAACGCATGCAGGGCGCTGACAAAGTGGTGCATACGCACTACTCACCAAACAATAGGACCAAACTTGTATGTTATTTCCTAGTAGTGAGAATATTATATAGTAGTCCGAAAAGTTGATGATTTTTCAAAGTGGTGTTTGGGATGTAAACGGCCCAAACATTGATATCTTCCCGGTGTGCACGTGTAACCAAAACGATTTATCAACCAAAAATGTAAGTTGCCTTTCTAGATGCGTTAGGCATTACAAATCTGTGTTCTTATTTGTAACATCTGTTGAAATAGATATTTTATTGAATTTACATGAATTGTTTTTAATCTTCGTACAGATCAAATACTGGATACTTCCCAACCATTCATGACTGAGGCACAGGTTCTCCAGTGTGGGGAAGAGTTGAAGACTTTCTATTGCGAACAAATGTGCAAAATCAAACCTGACCCGCTTGATTTCAATATCATCTTTGAATTCGAGCAAATTTACACGAACCTAACGCTACTCAGGAACGAAATGGGAACAAGAACCAAAACGCCACTGGATTACACTGCTCTTCTTACTACAAAGATTAACGGAGTACTTCCTAAACGTCTTCTGGTTGAAGGTGAAGGTGGTGTCGGTAAAACAACCTTATGTTCGAAGATCGCATGGGATTGGGTCAATGGGTCTCCCGAGTTTCAGCGCTTCACTTGGGTTCTGGTTATACCCCTGCGCAATATTGTCAAGGGTCAAACAATTGGTGATATTATGAAAAACTATCTCTCCGACAATAATGCTGTAAACCCTAAACAGATCAGTAAATACATATTGTCTCAACCTACAAAGGTTCTGATTGTACTTGATGGACTCGATGAGTATAATGGAGACCTCTCTGCCAAAGAAAGCTCAGATATTTCTCAGATTCTACGATTGGAGAAATTCAAGGAATGCATAGTTCTGGTGACAACAAGACCGTGGAGGGCGGATCAGATCAAGTCCAAGGAAGAATTCAGTAGGTCGTATGCTTTCATTGCAGTAGAAGGATTTAGTGCTGAAAATGTCTCTACATACATCAGCAAGTACTTCGTGAAGGATGAAAAGGCAGGTTCAGAACTGAGTCGGTTTATTGACGTGAATGATGTAATCAGGGAAAACATGGCACCCTTCCCAATTTACGTAGCAATGCTATGCATCTTATGGAAAAATTGTGACAGTGAAAAACGAGAAACAATACGCAGACTGAAGACATTTTCTCAATTATTTGAACAAATGATCATGTTTCTAAGAGATCATTATGTGTCAAAGGTTTCTGAAGCCCATTTGGACAAGGAAAAGGAAAGTATCAAGTTTTGTTTGCAAAGAATAGGATCGATTGCATTCTCAGGACTCCTAAAAAAGAAATTGGTTTTTAATGAGGAGGACTTCAGCTTGTATAAGGAAGCCATGGAGACATGCTGCAGAATCGGAGTTCTAAGTCGAGAAAATCGAAATGTATCCAGATGGAAAAGAACTGTGACTGTTACACAGCCTATAACCACTAGTGTCTTCTTTCCTCACAAATTATTTCAGGAATATGTTGCGTCTATTTATCTTGCCTTTCTATATGACATGAATCGCGAAGAGTACAGTAGGTCGATGGGCGAAGTACTGAGCGATGACCCACAAGAATTCCGTTACCTCTTGTATTTCACCGCTGCCCTGGGAAAGGAGGTGGGACTTGATATTGTCAAGAAAATACAACAAAATGATGTAGACAGTGATAGAAGTCCTCTTCATCGTTTCAGACCCATAGCAGAATACCTCGCGTACGAACAACCAAGAAGAAATAACTTTAATTTTCTTGTAGATGTCACTTTTGAAGCGTATAACAAAGACACAGCGAAAGCAGTAGGACAACGAATATTTGCAGACGAGAGAATACTGACTATCGATAAAGCCATGGCTGCTCACACAACTTCTGGTTATTTATTCATCATGGAACAGCATGGAATGGTTTGTTATAGTTTAAACAGTGCGTCCCAGAAAAAACGAAAACGAGATTTATCAATGTTTTATTATAACTTAATCACAATTATAATTGATAAATGACACATGTTTAGAAAGCTTAGATCCTCCTCTTCTACTTGATGCAACTCATATAATACATATTTCACGCATGAGTGATTACAATGAATTTGAAGAGAGAAAAACAAAAAGTAATTTGGCGGATGGTTTCTGAATTTCAAAGAGAAAATCACATTTCTAAAAATTTGAGTTTTTGCCCTTTCATATGACACCTCAACCAGGAAAAATGAGCAAGGAATGACAAAGTTCTGTTTGTTTTAATAAAGTAGTGCTTGCATTTCCATAATTTCATTAAACAAATTCGTTTTCACTGGCTGCTTGCCGTAACAACCAACGGAATTAACAAAAGACTTAACTCCGTTTCGTTAACAATCAGCCGTAGACGAAAGACTTCATGCATGGCTGATTGTCAACGAAGCAGAGTTAAGTCTTTTGTCAATTCTGATTATTGCTACGGCAGGCAGCCAGTGAAAACGAATTTGTTTGATAAAATAATGGAAATGCAAGCACTACTTTAAACAAACAGAACTTTGTAATTCCTTGCTCATTTTTCCTGGTTGAGGTGTCATATGAAAGGGCAAAAGCTCACATTTCTAGAAATGTGAGTTTCTCTTTGAAATTCAGAAACCGTTCGCCAAATGACTTTTTGGTTTCCACTCTTCAAATTCATTTTAATCACTCATGCGTGAAATATGCATTATGTGGGTTGCATCAAATGAAAGAAGAGGATCTAAGCTTTCCAAACATGTGTCATTTATCAATTACAATTGTGATTAAGTTATAATAAAACATAGATAAATCTCGGTTGCGTTTTTTCTGGGACGCACTGTATATGTATATATATATATATATATACGCATACAAAGATTCTAAGCCTCTAATCGGTCAAACTTGCAGGCATAAAACTTACTACCGACTGTTGGGTATTTTACAGAAAAAAACATTGACCAGTATAGTTCTTCTTGTGCATACAACGAAAGTCAACATTGTATACGCACAGTAATAAATGCATGTAAATTTTCCCTACAGATAAATACATTTTGACGTGCCTATTTTCTTAAAATACAGGTACAGGTGTATCCCTTTCTGAGAATTGACACAAGGGATGCGGTACATGAAACAAATACTGCTTTTTTTTTTTTTGGGGGGGGGGGGGGGTCATGCTTCAAATGAATATATCGCTCCTCTGTAATCTCTTGACTGCACTTTGCCCACCATATATTTCCGAGATCACCTTTAGTCCAGAATCTGGCCAATAAAATTTTGATCTCCACCACACCAACTCAATGCGAATATGCGACCTCCTCCTACTTACTCACTGCAAAAAGAAGATGGCGTAATCCTTAAATTAGGACGCCCTGCAAACAAAATCAGCATCTTTGGCGGCTTGAAACAAGTGTAGGTAATATATAGACTTATAATTACTAACAAAGAACCGGCCAGATTCTAGACTAGATCGCCTTGTGCAATAGTAAGAACAATGTCGCTCAAGGAAATCAATATTTGTATATTATTTAATGTAGGACAATTACCTATGAAAGTATTTTTATCTTGAAAAGTGTATAGCCGGCGTACAAACCTCTATCTCAACAATAAAACTTATCCAATGTTGTAATAATTTCTCTCATAAATGTATGTGAAAGGAAAGTGAAACATTAATTGTCGTAAGGGAGCCATATTACTTTCATAATTTGAGACACTGTACCCTTTCCCTCACTTGGTCTTGAAAGGGAGCACCCAGGTTTATCCATCCTGGCACACACCTATTCCTGTATTTTGGTGCATGCAGCGGTATTAATGTGTTTTTTGAAAAGATAAAAATAATAATACATGAGATTTATATAGCGCCATTATCCATTCTAAATAAATGTTTCAAGTCCCTTGATGTTACGTACATTAACATTACCGATAACTTGGTTGAGAATTCTTGCCAGTTGAGCATTGATGAATTATAAGTATAGCCTGAGAGAGAATTGCATGTATACTGAAACTAAAAAACAAGTTCTGACAATTCAAATAATGGTTTCACATGCACCTGTATATACTGTATATATATATATATATATATATATATATACACACTGTATAATATATACCTAGGCCTGTATAACACATCAGGATCTTTTTAGCAATATGAATTGTATAGTAATTATAACATGTTTATGTCTGTTCCAGGAAACTTTGGTATTCAGAGACAGATCATGTGGCCCGACTGTATCACGTGACCTAGCAGACGTCCTATTCACATCAAACTCATTATCAAGATTAGAGTTTTATCGTACAACATTGGATCATGACTTCTACAAGTTAATGCATACACAAGTTTCTACAATGGCGGTAAATATATATAATTATTTAAACATATTACCAATGATTACAATTCGTCTTTGTCAGACGAATTTGAGACATGGTACAGTAAATTATACTTACATTACAGGTATGTGTTAAAAAACCTTACCCTGAGGCACGTTGGGGGTAACACATAATGGAAGTATGATTTACTGTATCATGTCTAAAAAGAAAGAAAAAAAAGAAGGGGACGAACTAGCAAGGATTTTCAACAACAAGAATTTCGCTGCATATACATGTACCCAAACAAGCATGTTTTTCCTCTTGTACAAGATATTTAAAACAAAATAAGTATTCTTCATCCATGTGTGTGTGTGTGTGTGTGTATATTGGGCATTTACAGACGTGTATCAATCAGATATGATTATTTACGTCTGGGGACCGACCTTTAACGTTACCAGCTGAAAGACGTGACTCAGTTTCTAACCTTCGTCCTCGGATGAATCAGTTTGTAACTTCTATTGTTAGCTGGATTACAGGTGCACGACACAACGCCATTGTTGTCTCCATTGCTTAAAAGGCCTGACATGGAATTATTATTGTCTCAGCTGATAGGAGGATAAAGGATGACATAGGGTAGAGAGTGTGCACTAGCAAGAAAAGGGAATATCTACATCCTTCAGCTTTTTTAAGCTTGAACATGCTTTAAACACAAAATAAATTAAGAGTAAATTCCAAAACTTTATTACGAAAAGCTACTAGACGAGGGAGCGTAGTGACCAGGCAAAATGGTTGATTGCTTAATTTGATCATGCGAATGAGACCGGACAACTACCCCCAGACAACTATCTCCTAGGACAACTACCTCCTAGGACAACTAATCCCGAGGACAATCCCCCCGGACAACTACCCCCGGAAAACTACCCCCAGATAACTACCCCTTATGACAATCATCGTCTAGGACAACTAACTACCCCCCGAATAAATATTCTACAGGGTAGTTGTTTGGGGAGAGTTGTCCGGGGGATAGTTGCCCTATGGGGTAGTTTTCTGAGGGGGGTAGTTGTCCGGGGGTAGTCGTCCTAGAGAGTGTGGTTGCCCTAGGGGGTATTTGTCCTAGGGGGTGGTTGTCCAAGGGGGTAGTTGACTGGGGGTGGTTATCAGGGGGTTGGATATCCAGGGGGTAGGTGTCCGGATACGGTGACAGACATGTGCGCTATATAAGAAGCTACCGTTATTATTATACCTCTTATTCATTGTCCGATTTTTCCCAAACCTTCTCTGATCTGTTCCTCTCATTTTTCTCTGTGTATTAAAGCAACTTTTTATCAGGGTGGACTTCCCCGTCAAGTTGGTTTTAGTAAAAGCAGGTTAATGATAGTTTGAGCAAATTCCAAATAAAAATAAGAATTTCCTGAAGGTGCGATCAATCAAATACAAATTGCTAACACTAACACTGTGACGTATATTGCGAGCTCCTCTCCAATTTGCTCTGTACTACAATGTTATAGATTTTCATTCTCTTTGTTATTGATGATGGAAAAGATTTTTTTTCCATAAAGGAGTTTAAAAAGAAACATATTTATAATAATTATATTTAAGGTACATGTATGATCAAAACAATTCCTGATAGAAATAACAATTTCTGATTTTGTTTCTTAATTTTAATCGGAATTAGCTCAAACTTGTATTGACCTGTTTCATTTATTTTCTGATTCTATCATAAAAACCACTTAAATATCAGGGTGGACTTCCCTTTAAAGGCACACTGTCCTACTTGTAGCTAATTGCTCCCTCTATATAGAAAACTTCCAAAATCGGTGCCTGTTGGTCCCCCATGATCCTCTTTTTCTTATGTTAAATGAGAGCTGAGTTAATGAGATAGCCACCTGTCACACTGACCTTGCTGGCTCGCTGTGTGGTCTAATCCCTTCTAGCTGCAGTAGTAAAGCCTACCTTTAAAAATAAAATGTTTAAAAAAAAAAGAAGTTAATGAAAAGTATTTGACAATAAAACAGGGAAAAACCGGAACAACATTTTGTGAGTATGTTTCCTTCGAGCAATGATTGGAAAAAACATATTTGATCTATCAAGAATAAATTGTATTTAGAAGAAGAACAAATCTCTTTTCATTAGAATGAGAATTTCTGTCTGTATGGCATTGTAAAAAAAAGGACTTAACTGCCATTCTTGTTCATACTTACAATTTTATTTTAATGTGGAGAATATACACATATTTATAGAGTCTAATATTATATGAAAAGATTTATTGATAATACTCTACTTCATTATCATTTTGCACACACAGGGAGATACATCCTCAATCAAAGAGCTGGTTGTAGATCATCAATTCCTAGATGGTCTACAGAGGATTAATGATGTTGACTTAAATGTCACCGTTGAAGAGCTATTCCCGAGCTTGACACAATTGACCTTTACCACTCTTCAAACTGTCACACCGGGAGTTGTTGAACAATTGGCACATTCCAGCCTAGCAGTGTTGTCTATTGAGCATGGTAAGAAAGGTCGACGTCTAGTTCCTCTCATTGGAGAACCTACTTTACTGGGACAACTTTTCTTCAGTTCATTCCCTCACCTCACCTGTCTGACCTTCCGAGGGCTAGTAATGGGCAACATACGCAGTGAAGCAATACTACATAATCTAAAGAACCACCTGCATTTGAAATCAATAAGGTACGTTCATCAGGGCCATGTTCGCAGAAATTGTCATTATTTCCAATGATAGTAATGATAATAATAATACAAATAATGATATGAAAACTGATAACAATAATTATAATTATAGTGATAAAATGACAATAATACTGATGATAATAATACTGATAATATTAATACTGATAATAATACAAATCAAGAAATAGATGAATAAATGAATGAATCAATGATCAAATTAGTTATTAAAACGAAAAACATAGGTTATATATGATTTTTTTTGTTTATATATATGAATAGGAAAAAAAAAATGTTTCGTTTTCTGACAGCAATCAGAATAATGCCAAGAATAATTTTTAAAGGGTGTATAGCCTATATGGAAGGAAGCATAATATAATATATATCACAGAAGATTATATTCTCCTTTAATTTCTATACAAATTTAGTGATTCAAAATGTTCAAATATGTACTTTCCATGGAAACATATTTCGTATAGTGTCATCAGCTGTTTTACGGATGACGAATTGGACCCCCTGGCAGCACAAATAACTACTGAGAACAGAATGAAAATTACACTTCAACATGACATGGTAAATGTCTTTGTCATAATTATCGACTATGGTGGTCCTAAAGAAGTTTTAAAACTGAAAAATATGATACTGAACAGGAACTCCACCCTAATATTCATTTTTTTTTAAATGAAAGCAGGAAATTGAGAGAAAAAAGTAAGTGAATGTTTATGCAAAATCTGAAGAAAAATTGGTCATTTTGAGCTGTATAATAAATCAAACACAAATTGACAACGCTATGAAGGTTTTTGCGAGGTCCTCTCTCATTCGCTCTGTATTACAAAAATATCACACATGTCCCCAACATATAATAATTGTAAATATGTTTCTACACAATGCCTGTATGAAAAGAAAATTTAAATTTATTATTTCTTGTACATCGCAAATGGAAGGACATTAAGTTAAAACGTATCAAATATCATGCATCATTCATGTCCGATTCTAAATACAGAATTAAAAGCATATATAAAATTGTCAGAAACCTTCATTGTCATAAGCCAAATTTAATGGAAGTTTAAATATAAACTGTATGATTGGCATCTTAGACTTATGGAAATCCCATTAAACTTTGCCCTACTTCAGTTACCATGTGTATACAACATGCTCGGTTGTATTTGGGCATATTTACCTAAGTTCTTTGTGTTCACTATGCGGGCAGTGTCATGGTATTTCCTCCAGGGTTTAAACAAATAATAAACCAGAATCTCTACTTTTCAACAGGCTCAAAGGACGTTATCTTTTGACAATACTACTGGACCATTAACGATAGATATAATAGATGCACTTTGCCACAGAACGTGTGTCACTCACTTAAAAGTGAATTTGAAAGGTGTAGAGATTGCAGGGGAAGAATGTTTTCCAGACTTTCATGGCCGAGAGGTGGATTCAAAGGTTAGTAAAGCAGCAAATCAGCTTTCTTACATTTTCACCCCCCCCCCCCATTCTCTCTTTTTCTCCTTCCTAGTCTTCAGCTTTTCCTTATCCATAAAAGTTCCCTTTTTTGTTAACTTTCTTCTCCAATTTCCTTCTGACAGTTCTCTCAATTTATCACTCCTTCTCTGTGCTCTCTTTTATAATTATAATTAGATGTCCTTTAACAGAAATCTTAATAGGTGATAGAGAGGAGCACCTTCAAGTCAAACTAGATTTGTTTGGATAATCCCAGACATTATACCTTTTTGTTCATTGTTTTCCGACGATTCTTAATGTTCTTTCATGCTGGCCTCTGTATTTTTTTTAATTGTAAGAAGGGAAAGAAAAATGACAGACACTGACTACTAGTGTAAAGACAAGGGCCCCGTCTTATCCAAATCAATAGCAATTCCTCCTTTCAATCGCAAGTTTGCAGTCTCCTATCTATTATGTACATAGTTTCGATTGATATCAACTCTTTATAAACTTTGTAATTATCACGACATCAATTTTATCCAGAAAATTATATGGTAATCAAACGGCCATGTTTTTGTGAATGAGGAGGGGGGGGGGGGGGGGGGGGGGGGTAAGCACATAAAAACATTGAATGGTTCTAAATTAACAAGTACAGCGATCACCATCATCAATGACAATTTTTTTCTCCATAATTATGATCTAATAGGGTTCTAGGGCCATAATCTACTGGATGCATGTTCTTGAACACAACACCTTTGTGCATTGTAGCACTCAGTTGAAAGAAAACAATAAAACAAAAATGGTAATAAATAACCATGAATCACAAACTACGAGAGTATGCATATGGTGTGTGTTTGATCCATAAAACTAACCCAAATTGCCATTACATTTCTCAGGCATGCTGATGTGTATTTCTGTTTTCTTTGTGTTGTTTTGGGGTTGTTGTTGTTGTTGTGTTTTTTTTTTTTTGGGGGGGGGGGCGCTGTGCAAAATATCACTGAGTTCAGCCTGAAGGGTTTCTATCTTTTATTCAAATTCCCTGCTTCATGACTTGCTGGCATACGCCGTAATCTCGATTTTATTTTCACAGATTCAAAAGTTGAAAGATGAATACTTGAAATTATTATTATTGTTTCATTGAAACAGCAGTTTCTTTAATCATTTGTCATGATCTTTTCTTTATGTTGTTTGAAACTTGAAGACACGGTAACATGATTTTTTTGCAGACAGATGACGTTCCAGAGAAAATCAGAGTACGAGTATTCCGGTGGGACGGAAAGTCCAAACATTTGTCCTTTTACGTTGAGTTTACTGCCGCCCAAACAAAAATATTTTTTTTTATGATATTGTATTCCAGGGAGCCTTAATAAACGGCTCCCATAGGAGCCCACGGAGAGGCATATAAGCAAAACCTAAAATGTGTCCCGAATCACACTTTTCCCGCACCTGACCATTATTGGACAGTGACCTCGATAAATTTTATGGCACTTTTACTCCTAATTACCTCCGGAATTTTAAAATCGGAGGTAAAAATAACGAAATAATAGCAAATATCTTACCAGAATGATACGGCTTAGCTCCCTTTTCACGTGTAGCGTGTGACTTTACGATCTCTACACAATGGTGTTGACCTCTGACTGGCACTTCGTAAATATGCTGCCACCGTTTAATGCGCTGAATAGCACTTATACAGCGCATTATACGGAACCACTGAGTGAAATATTGGCCGGCACGGTTTTCATATTTCAGCACACTAAATTTCAAATTGATTTCAAATTTGGACCCCCACCCCTAAGAAATCCTGGATCCGTGCCTGATCCTGGTGTCTGGAGGATTTACTTTGTTTTTGGAATAGAGCACTGGTTTTGATATATCTTTTCATTATGTGGGTATATAGCTTTTATTGCAAATAAAACCAACCAACCAACCGATTAGCTATAGTGAGCGTTTTGCTCATCAGATTTTTTCCACCCCCCCCCCTTTTCAGAACCCTGGATCATCTCCTGTGATTATGTGATTGCTTTATTAAAGATCGTTATAAGGGTTTACACTTTTTTCACTATTTACTGCTTCATAAACTATCAACGATCTTTGCTCCTCCCCCTTTCCCGAGTGATTTCTTACTGTGTGTTTGGTGCGTGTGCATTTGCAGTGGTATTGTGATATCATTTTTTTTTTAAATATATCTTCTCATGTAAACTGGCATGCTATCTATTAAAGGGAGTTGCATCTATTTATAAATAGCTTTGTTATTTGTTGGCTTCATTTTCTTTGTCATTATTTTTGTTGTTGAACATGATGCATATTTTGTATTTATTAATGATATTTAATGATTTAGAAATTAATTTGAATTGAACTGAATTTTAATATTTGTATTTTCCACAAAGTCACACGTTTAAGTATTAGCGGCTTGGTATCACGTGATAACCAATCAACATCTTGATGTCTGGGGAAGTGACGAGCTCTGGACCAATAACATCTCGGTATCTGTCTAAGCTATCTTATGTATGTGAATGTTTAATGTGAGAGTACAGACATTTATAAGGGTTTCCACATTTTCCCCCATTTCATACTTCATGAATATTATGTATGCCATTCATTTGAATTTCCACAGATTCAGAAGTTTATCATTACTGCCTTGCACCTACATGACGACCAATCATTATCTGGCTTTCTGGGGAAGTTTCTCAGTCTCCTGCCTCAACTGACACACCTGGAGATTGACTCATGTCTTCCTCATCATGGTTTCTACAAAGAGATTGCTGATCGAGCTTCTTCATCTCAGGTAAAATGTATTTTTGTATAAGAAGAAGAAAAAGATGCAAAGTATTTGTCTTGTGTCTGTTTGGAGAAGTGTACGGGGTACCACTCAGTTACAGACTGAAGGGTTTCCAGTATCTTTTATTCACATTTCTGTCTGCATGACTTGGCGGCGTACACCGTATTTGATTGTATTTCCACAGATTCACACATTGATACATGTAATTGAACACTTGAAATAATCATTATATCTCGACCAAAAATAGAAAGAAGATAGACTCCCTCTCTATATACAGGATGAACAATTAGTAGCATGATGTGTGGAGAAGCTACTCTGTTTCCGGAATAGAATGTGAACACGTGTAAAGTAATTAGCGCGCGTACACTTTGTGAAAACTACTTCGACCAATCACCTGCCTTAAACGAAATCACGTGATATGATACTTTCAACACCGAGCATAAAACTACACCCAGTAATTAGTAATGCATGCCTAAATCTGACCGGTGTTAAAAATAACACTACTGGTGTCAAAATAACACTAATGGCGTCAAAAAAAATTCTACACCATACTGGTGTAAGAATTTCTACACCCTGGTTTTTACAGTGTAGCCACTCGACGGGGGAGCGTAGTGACTGAGCAAAATGGTTGATTGCTTAATTTTGTTGTGCATGCATGTACCAATTTTGAAGGAGACACTTCATGTTTTCAGAGGATGAAAGTGTGTTTTAGCTTTAATTAAAAACTACTTATAACCCTGTGCATCACGAGATAGATATATAAACAAATTGAAGGCTTCAAGAT